TTTTCATTTTTTCCAGTTCAATTTTTGTCAAAATCGAAAGTTGTCGAAATGAAGAAAATTCAAGAACCTGGAATAGAAAAAACATTAATTTCCATTTATCTACTTTTTTTTTATTTTTCTTATATTTCTTCTATTCATTTCTAAATTTTTCTATCTCATTTTTTATCTATTCCCATCTCTTGAGCCTTCAAATTCAAGAGGTTGGATTAGAAATAATATTTGTGTTTACCAGTTGTCCCTCAATTTCTCTCGAATTTCTTCTGTCTATTTCTCAATTTTCCAGCTCAATTTTTGTCTAATCTTGGTTCTTGCATTTGTCGAAACAAAGAAAGTTCAAAAGCCTGGGATAGGAAAAAAACATAAATGTCGTCTTATTTACCAACTCCAATTTTTTTTTTTTTATGTTCAATATTGAAAAAAAATCTCTTTTGGTGAAAATTTATTTATGATAAATTTCAATTATTAATTTGATGATTTTCAATTTTGAATTTCTCAGAAAATAATCATCTATAGAGCTACTCTTTCTCACGGAAACATGAAGGGAATTCTTGAATAAAAATTTTGTGCGACTACCCTATTGAATCAAATCGGGTTTTACCTTCATAACTGGTTGAAGTTTTGGAAGTAATTAATTCAATTTATATTTCTTAGTTACTAGGAACATGTTTTAGTTTTCAGAACTGATTGACTTGATAATCAATTAGACCTCAACAATCAAAATCTATTCGGTGAGATAATTGAAAAACATGAACAGGATTAATGTTAAGGCATAGTCATAGAATGTCATTATTTTTTTATATCTCGGTTGATTTTTGTACTTTTGATGAAGCTTCAGTGTAGCGAAACATGTTTTAACTTTCTAAACCCAGAGTGAGTTTTATTACTTTCAATTATTTAATTACCTGTATATGAATTTCCAACAATTAAGAGCAGATTGAAATCAATTATTTTGCTTCCTTGACAACCCAGACTCAATAGAATAGTTATTGATAAATATCTATTTTACAAGGAATAATACCTATAAAAGTTTACAACTGCATTAAAGTGTTTATTCGTCTGGCGGCAAATTGTCTTTGATGTCACACGTACTACAAATTTGTTATGCTGATGGGTTGCAAATGTTCCTAGATAAATCAAGATGTTACTGTCATCAGGTATAAACCGGAAGAAAGAGCTTTTTGAAGTTCCTCGTAAATGAGATTCTATACTTCGACTTATAGTAGTGAGATAATGTAAAAATTTAGAATAACCATAGTAGTATTCAAATGAATACATGTTAGCGAACAAAAATGTAGGTATTTATAGCTCTGGACTAGCCTTTAGCCCTCAAGAAACCAAGGGCAGTATTGACAGCAAAAAAATTTGCGAAGCTTTAACTTTTGCCTAGGCATTTCTGAATAGATACCTACACGAAAACTTTGGAAAACCATAAATCAAGAAGTTTTAAAGATATTTTACGCTTAGTCTTAATCAGACAAACCCCTAGCGCTCTAACTGCATTTTGTTACGATAGTGACAGTATAATAAGAAGTCGTCCTGTGAGAACACTTTGGATCTCATTACCAAACATAATTGAAAGTTGAGTAGGTTCCAGAAAAAAAACCTTTCTTCATGAACCATCATCAGTAGGCGTTTGTGGCCGTTCTGGAATATTTTACGTAATTTTTTTTCGATATTAATCGATTTGGTAATCAAAATTAATGATTCTCACTACATCAGACTATGTAAAATTACTTTGTGTTTACACAGATGTCATTGTCGCAGCTCAATATGGGATATTATTTACCTACTTAAAAAGGGCAGTGGAACTATAAATTTCACGTAAAAATTCCGGCCACTTAAATAATGAGTTTTTAGCAGAATGTATTTATTGAGACATAACTATATTTCAGTTTGTTTGGTGTGAAGTTAAGTGATTTATTTTATATGACTACTCAAGAATATCTTTTATAGCATAATACTTTCGTTGATGCTTGAGTAAGTGCGTTTATTTTTTTTCCCAGACACCAGACATGTTTATAAACAAATAAGAAGCATTTAAAATCTTGATGACCCGCTAAAGAAGGCAATTTCACAGTTAATTGATTGACACAAAATTAGCCAAACAATTTTGATGTTAAAGGCCCTTAAAGGCAAACAAACATCTTCAATTTATTTTAACCTGAAGAGAAATTTTAAAAAGATCGATCGATCTAAACCAAATTATTATTCTTCGAATAAAACGCTCATTAAAGCGTTCATAGAACAATGAGTAAAACTGTACCTATAGCTACTCGAGTTCATCTTGTAAGTAGTGAAAGCATGATTTTTTTTTTTTTTCAACCTGTATCCCAAAATTTCTCTCTATTATCTTTCAATCATTACTCTAAACAAATTATACATGTTGACAGGTATAATGATTAGTACTTCCAATGATTTAACAATAGCTGATTATTTATACATATATACACACGTAGCGCATTATATTCAGGCTGCTGATTTCTCCTAAACGAAACGGAAAGTGAATGACGTGTAAACGCGATGGTCAAAGACCGGAGAACCATTGTTTTTGTTGTTTAATGTTTTCAGGTCCTTTGGAAATAGGATGAGAAAAATTACGTTTTGAAAATTATCGATTTAATTACTAATTTTGCAAGGACGGACGTTACTAGAGAGTTGAATTTGCACCAGTAACAAATAAGCGTGTAATACCTAACAGGAAATTTGGGTGGGTGCAGTTTTTTTTTAAAGCTTTGCGTGAACTTATCAAAACTAACCCGAATTTCTGTAACTACTTTCCTGTGGGTACTGATCTGTTTCAAAATACTCACCATCGATTTCATTTAGCTACTTGTTTTTCAAATTTTGCTAAATTCAGTTCATTGTTTGACCCTGAGCATTTGAAAAGTTTTAAAAATTAACCTTTTTCAAATCATCAATCATTTTTTATCAAAACGTCAGAGGCCTAAAAACAAAGCTTAAGGATTTGTTCTGCGCTGCAACTATTGAGTCATATTCTGTCATTGCATACACTGAGACTTGGTTGGATTGGATTCATCTGTCAATGAGTACATTCAGGCGGTGCCAGCGGTTTAGTTCAGCCACTCAGCGGGAACGTTATTCTCGAAACAGGAAAGCAGCGTTCTCATTGGAACGAAGGTTCTGTCTTTGTCGTCCGGCATAACACTGACAATGACAGAGCAATCGTTCTTATGAAAACGCTGTTCCTTGGTTTCGAGAATAGAGTCCCTGCTGAGTAGCTGAGCTTAGCCGCTGGGACCGCCTGAATGTACCCAATGACTCCGAGTTTCGGGATTCTTCTTACACTGTGTACCGAATTGATCGAAATGCCATTAATAGTACAAAATGCCGGGGTGGTGGTGTGCTACTCGCAGTAAAAAACTTCTTGAAATCTAGCCTCTTGTCACTTGGTGATTCTACAATCGAAGAAGTTTGGGTATCCATAACGATTGGAAATTCTGTATACTGTGTGTTTGTGTCAACTTATCAAACTAAGTACCAAACTTTTCTTATTTCTGATACATTTTGTGTGTTGACATATTTCTTAGAACAATTTCATATAATATTGAAAAAATATTATTAACTTGCATTACTAACTCTTTGTTGCTTTAGTTTTTAGTCATACGTTGTTAACTTTTTTTTAAAGTAATTTTAATTGTAATATGTAGTAGGTACATAATATGTACATACCTACATAAATTAAATCTATCTCAAATTCTACTTTCTCTAAATAACGAATCATTATCAGTTCAAAAATTTTATTTCAAGGAAATCTTCTTCGTGATCATTCCATTTATATGATAAATTTAGGATGATTATGAATAAAACATTCTATGTGTGTTTGATGCTGGTAGGAAGTGTTACCTTTGAGAAAAAAATAGTTTTGGACTTCTATTACCTTGGTTATTTTATTTTTACCTACACAATTTAACGGTGTAGTATGATTGTCAAACCATGCGACCTGACGACGTAGTCAGGCGACTAGTGATATACATTTAAGTACCTAGTTTATTTGAAGTTGACTTAAAGACTGAAAGTAAGTTTTGTCAAAACAGGATAATATCATATTTTTATTTAACTTTAGTTACTATACTTTTATTCCAACTTCAATTTAACTAAGTACAAATGATTTACGATTTACTTTTCACTAACTCAATTTATCTACTAGCAACTTATAGCAAAGCAAATTCTAAATTCTACAAGGTACGTTTCCTTCTCATTCACATGGGAGTTTTGGAGTTTTGGCACGACTTGTTTTTTTCGTAGCAATATTTTTAGAACACGGAAATACTGTATGCGAATATTCTGCTTATTTTATGCCTGAAAATATTTTTAAGCCATTTATAGTTTAAAATAGACATTTCAATTAGGCTTTGTGTTTGGAGATTTATTTAAAGTTGACCTCTAAGGTGGTAGTTGAAAGCGATGATTGAAATAAACTAAAATAGAAAAGTTTATTTGGGGAATTTCTGATTTGATAAAAATTAACCCGGCATTACACGCGTCAAAAAACAAACGTCATTACACGCGTACGAAATCGAACGCATGCCCAAATGTTTACCTATATGAATTATCAAAGCACTATGATTCCTAAAATTCATAATAATACCAAAGGGAATTTTATCATGCAGTATGCACAGTTACCGTATTATCGAAAGCCAACAAAGATACTCCCAATATCAGATACTGCCAATTTTGAACACAAATAATTTAGATACCTACTCAGGTTCACGCGTCTGGTCAAAAGCACCGACTATGAAAACAACGAACTATACTTCATTAAAATACCAAAATATTTTCGGGCTAATGGGTAGTGGAAAACCTGCATCAGGCATTCTAGGATGGACAAAACTACCACCCTTGTACCAGTGGCGTAATTAAACCCATTTCATTCAAGATAGAGGAGCTATTTGTTTAATCCTTAAGATTAATTCAAAAATTTGTTATCCTTTATCAAGAATAATTATTTATCTCTTTGTGAGACTAGGTAGACTTTTATAATTATGATAATTTTTATTTCAGGATCCAACATTAAAGTAAAATGACATCGCGTTTCTTCAGAGCACATGGGGAATTCTGCACCAGCCACCCCTGGGAGGTGATTGTGGCCACCCTCACATTAACAGCTTGTATGTTAACTGTTGACCAACAAAGTAATATTCCTCCCACAAGGCCGGCTATTAAATTATGTCTTGGATGTCAGGTAAGAATAATTATAGTATTTTTCAAACCCCTATCGTAGTATATGTTTAGTTACTATTATACATACAGAGCTGGGCCAGATTACCGTACTGAAAGTATTTATGAGTAATATCAGTGTAAATTATAATACCTATCTCTCACAAGTTCTTGAAGAAATAGTTTGCAACATTTAAAAAGTACACTTGGGGTTACGACTACTACTACTGTCAAGCAAGGGTATAACCAAAGTTTACTTATAACTGATTATTTTTTCATTACCGGAGGTTCCAGAAAAAAAATTGCTTTAGAATCTCTAGCTAACAATGCTCTATTGTTTTTTTTTTAAATGCTTAGAAAAATTTCGAAAAGGCAAAAGATATTGCAGATCAAGCTAGAAAAAAAAATTGGTTCATAATATTTCTAAAATGATTTGATTTGATTACTCCAATGCTGACCAGGAGCCGGATTCTATTTTACGAGTCGAGTAGTCGAAGTGTCTGACACTCGATATCGAATACGACAGCTCCGTATGTACCGTATAATACGTATCGAAAAATCGAAAAATAGAATCGCTATTTTGACAATTCAATACAAGTTTCGACTCGACTCGTAAAATAGAATCTGGCAGCAGGTCTGATGATGGACCGTTTATAAATTTTTATTAATTAGCTACCTATTATTTTCTCAGTGGGCAAGGCTATACAATGTGTTGGTATATACCTACTCACAGAGAATTGATGCTGTTGCTAAATTTTCTTTTGTGATCGGTACTTGGAAAGAAAAATACTTTTTGGTGTCTCAATGGTATTTATTGGATTTCTGATATCTGAATTATTAAGAATCTTCAAATTCAAGATTGTTTCGAATCAACAGCATAAATGCCTGAATTCGAAAGGTTATGGATTGAAATAAATGGTTCGAAAATGGAGAAGACGAGAAAACCTAATAGCACAAAAGTTACGATGATGAACGTTTTTTCGAAATCCGTTTATCGTCGGAACGTCCAAGGACTAAAATAGAACGTTTTAAAAGTATGTCCAAAATAGGTTCGCAAAAAATCCATAAGCATAAAGTTCTATAATTAAACAGTTTTGAAGCTCTATTTCTCGGTAACTTTACAAGCAACACACTCCAATTTTGCAAGGCTTATAGAGAATTCAATACTTTTTCCAATGATATATAATTGTAGGCAATTCTCTAAAATTTCATCGAAGATATGACCAATTGAATATTTATGTCCCTGTGGTTATTTCAAAAAATATCCAGAGCCAAAAATGAAATTTCCAGTAGTAATATAACTAGTGCATAAAATATTCACAGAAATTTTTGAAATTTTTGTCTGAAGCCAATTTTTTAACAAAATCATGAGTGCATAGCGCCTGCACGAATGGTTTTGTTCAAAAAAATTGGCTGAAGATGAAAATTTTCAAAATTTCCCTAAGGAAATATTTTATGCACGTGTTATATTTTGATAGGAAATTTCCCGAGTTTGAAGTTCATTTACTACGTTGTGTTGAATTCTTTTATTGATGATGATAATTATTGATTTTTCCCATTTAAATTGCGTTTGTCAAAAAATATACACTTTGACCGATTTCTGACATCAATGCGTTTTAAATGGAAAAGCGGGTCTCAATGCCAAAAATGACAATTCTGGAAATTTTCCCCGGGATATTTCCAAAAATTTCCACTTATTAATTTTGACAATTTGCAAAATTTCCAGTGTAATTTGCACAAGGGAAATTTTTTTTGGGAATTTTCAATTTTCTTTTAAAGGTAAGGCAATAAAATCTTCATAAAGGTATTTAGTTGAAATCGGTTGCCTTCACGGTTTTTGAGAAAATCGAGTTTGAAGTTTTAGACAAAATGTTGACTAAATTTCAATTTTGAAGCTCAATATCTCAAGAAATCCACAAGCTACATTCTGGGCAATTTTCTGAAATATCATCGAACATATGAGCAATAATAGGCCCCTTGCATCAATTTTTTTTATTGCGGATTTCGTTTCTTAATGAAAAATAAGTCAACACGTGTTTTTTTCTTTTTTTTGTTAGACAAAAATTGACGGAGATACAACGCTTTGAAATGTACTTATTTTTCATATCCTATGACGTCACACCATGCTCAGTATATCTAATATCTGCCCAGCGAGTCTGTGTCTACGGGGCAATGGTAAGGGGAATGCAGTTGTAAAAAAAAATGGCTGATTTCATTCATGAAATACCCAGCTGCGTGCGGAACTTTTTGGAAGTGTTATCGTCAGTGGCGGATCTAACATGAAGCAAACGACGCACTCTGCGTCGGGCCCCCAAAGTTGAAGGGCCCCCACAGTCCCCACACAACCGAATTCTAGAGTCATTGATAAAAATGAATTTAAAAAAATTAACTCATAAATATGCAAAAAAAAATACCTACAAAAATTAAGTTTTGAAAGAGATCCAGAGAGGAAGTAACGTCAATCCAGAAGTTAACATTTAGTTATTTTGTCAAAATACCCGCCCTAAGTGGGGTTGGTGTCAGTCAACCAACCAATTTACCTAGAAATACGCAGCGCCCGCCAAGGAAAATAGTGGTGATAAACCTGCGGTTCAATTAAATTTGTTTTTATATTTGGCTTTAAAAAAACTTCAATAACAGTCTGAGACGGCCCCAAAATTTTTTTTGCGTCGGGCCCCCCTTGGGCTAGGTCCGCCACTGGTTATCGTATTGCAACTCTTACACGAAAATCAGGCAATGACCAAGTCTCCGCCACTGGATATTTCAATATAAATCGATATGGTGGAGGTGAGGATAAAATGACGTGAGCCCTGGCCAATAGCGAGACGTAAGGTGACGTTAGCTCATTGACAACTGTATGGTTCCCCATGACAACGGCGATCCTGCCAAAAACTCCACCAATCAGGTTCATCCAGGACGGATGCTTGCCAAATTGTCAAAAACTGATGGTGTCTTTAGAAAATGTTTATTTTTTACAATAGTCCAAATTTAAGAAATCAGGATTAAAATAGGGATAGATCTAACAACCACGTTAAAATATTTAGTATTTCATTATTGTTATCAATATTTTGTTATTAAAAAATGGATTTTCAAATTAACTATACTTCATGCCCAGTATTTTCGCTTTTTTATAATTAAACGTGGCAACATGGCACATTTACGTCCGAATTCCTTCCGTAGACTCAGATCCGCTGGGCAAACAATATATATACAAAACTTCATTTTTGTATAACTTTCGGAATAATCATATTTGGACAAAATAAAAAAATACGTATAGATTTTTTTTCGATTTCCTACAGTTTGCAATAAACAGTTATCAATTTAATTTTCCATGCAAGGTCCCTATTTCTCATTGCCGTGTCAAGATTTTAAAACATTTCCAGAGACAAATATTTTTTTTCTCATCAAAATTTTCAAATTTAACTGATGTTGGAGCTTTTTCTGATTAATTTGAATTTGCTTTATCGATAAGAAAGTCAAAATTGAGAAAAAATTAAAAATAAGAATTTTCAATTTTTTACACTTTTTTCTAAGGGTACCTACCCCCTTTAGATTTTTTTTTCGCAAATCTTTAAGCCGCTATATCTTGCTAACCATACGTGGTACAGGAACAAAAATTTAAGGAATTGTTATAACTCTCAATAAAAGCCCTAAAATGGCATTTACTTGAAATCAGTAGGTAACGGTAACGTTTACGGTTTGAGCAAATCGAGTTTGAAGTTTGGGACAAAATGTCAACTAAATATTCGATATCTCGGGAACTTCACAAGCTACAAAAACTAATTTTGAACGGCTGATAGAGAATTTAATACTGTTTCCAATGATGTATATTTGTAGAAAATTATCTGAAATGTCATCGAATATATTAGCAATTAATCATGAGCGTGACAAGATTTCAAAAAATTTCCAGAGCCATACATACATTTATTTTTATTTATTTTTTCATCGAAATTTTCGAATATGACTGATGTTTAGAGCTTTCTGACTAATTTAGACTGGCTCTATCGATTTGAAAATTGGAAAGATTCCAAAAATAAGAATTTTAATTTTTTTAACATTTATTTTTGACGTCTAGTCCGACTTTTATGATCTAATACTCCAAAGGAATGTGAGTTGGTGGCTCCCTCCGTTAGCACGCCAATGGTCTCCTAACCTCACACCTGTTTTTGCTGTATTTTTCCTCCCCTCGCATCTCATAAGGAAAGTGGCAAATAAAAAAAATTAAACATTAGTTTACAAGGTTGCTTGTAACTGTGACATTCGCACTACAAAAAAAGTCTATTGCTTATTCTTGGATACTTTACTGACGTTCTGACATCCGATCGGATACGTTTTTAAGACGGTTTTCAAACGTTTTAAGGGGATCAGTCCATAAACAAGAATAACGTAAATTAAGTCTTCCACTCTTCACAATTCAAAAATGTGGGAAACCAAATGTAATTCCTCCAGAATCCAACTATAGATACTCACCTCATATCACTTGTAGTCCAAGCAGTGCGGCAAACTTTCTTCTCATCCTTGCAAACTGGAGCTTTTGGCTTTCTGGAAGGCGCACACCTGTCCTTCCGTTTCTCCAGGCATTTCTTGTCGACTTCCAGGCATCCTTCCTGTTCGTACTCTCAACAGCCCCAATCGCCTCACTCGCGGAAATACGTTGCAAGGATCCGGTTCCTCGAATTCGTGCACCCAGTCCTCTCAGACCAAACGTTTGAGGTTCCAATGGACGATCCTGGGATAATAATTATTTGTTGTAGAATCTTATTCATGAAGCATTCAAGTAAAAGATAATGATGATGATTATTATTAGATTAACCAGGATAGCGATCAAGACATTATTCAATAAGATTCCACTTGCCTTGCAAGGACAATCTCCTGGAACAAATTTCGGTACTTAGTTTTTTTCGAAGCCCAATAATTGTCGTCCGCACGTTCATTGTCGGCGCAAACCTGTTTTTTTTTTACAGTCGCGTTCGGGGTTCGGCACAGACAAGTCTTACCTTCTAGTAGGAGGTGCTATAGTGGGTC